AAAAGGATTTTCCTAAAACATGTCAGTGACACATCCCTGTGCAGTCAGCCCAGTGCCAAACCTGCCCATGCACTCTGTGGCTTTGGGAAAGTTTTTCCATCCTGTGGAGTCCCCAGGATGTTGTGAATGTCCTCAGGGGGAGAGGGTGGGAACACCTGAGAGCTCAGGGCTGGTGTGTCCTCATCCCTGATCCTGAGCCCTGTGATCCCGGTGATTTTCACACCCATTTTCAATCCCTGTGTGTGGGATTCCCATGGGAAGTGTTGGCTCTGCTCTGTCCTGTCCCCACCACAGCTGAGCTTTGAGTTTGCTCCCTGCAGCTCTGCAGGGCTGAAACCTCCTGAGCTTGTGGCCCTTGATGCCATTGGTACATTCGTGTTCCTGGCTCATTTCTGCATCTCCTGGGGTTCCTCGTGGCCTGTAGGAAAACTGGAGAAGCCAAAGAAATGGTGAAATAAAATGGAAAATCCAAAGAAATGCTGGGAAATGCCAATTCCTGGCTCTTGCATGGATGTGAAGCATTCCCAGTGCAGTCCCTGTTTGGGTGGTCAGGAGCCCATGGCAGCTGCCTTAGGGTGGTGTTGAGTGAGGTTTGGTGCCAGAGCTCCACACAGTTAAAAATCACCAAATACTCCATTAAATATGAGTGTCTGGGGAGATCATGGCTTGCTCTCCCTGACTCTCAATTGAGCAGAAAACAAAAACTGAATTTTTTACATTTTTACTGTAACAGGTGTTGGAGGCTGGGACTGGGGGTTGTGGGTTATTTTTGTTTGTTTTTAAAATCCATCAATTTCTTCATAGAATTAACTCAGGGAGCTATTTCAGCCCATGTTTTTTACTTTCCCCCCTTTATTGCACCACCTGCAGGCCCTTCTGGTGCCTCTGATGCTGGGCTGGAACATTCCAGCTTTTATTTTTTTAAATTCATCAACTTCTGTGTAGAATTAACTTAGGGAACTATTTCAGGCCATCTCTTTTTATTTTTTTCTTGTTTTCTACAACACTTCTCCAACTTCCAGGGGGTTCTGCTGGGGCTGGGGGTGTATTGCTGCTGCAATGCTGGGCTGGAGCATTCCTGGTTTTATTTTTGTTTATTTTTTTAAATACATCAGTTTCTCTGTAGAATTCACTCAGGGAACTATTTCAGATAATATTTTTTATTTTTTCCCCTCTTTACTCCAACACCTCCAAGCAGTTCTGGTGTGTTTAGGGGTGTGATGTTGGGATGGAGTATTCCTGGTTTTATTTTTTAAAATACACCAGTTTCTCAGTAGAATTAACTATTTCAGACCATCTCTATTTATTTTTCCCCTCTATTCTACAACACCTCCAAGGAGTTCTGGTGGGTTTGGAGGTGTCATGGAGCATTCTTGGTTTTAATTTTTATTTTTTTAAATACAGCAATTCTCCACAGGATTTATTTGGAGAACTATTTCAGACCATT